TTACATTGTATGATATACAGACCTTCAGCGTGTGGTGAATTTGATGAGGGTCTATTTTGTGTCTCACTCGACTTTGGCTTCAGAGCCTGTTGGTTGAATGCATGAGCAACTGAGGAAGCTGGTGCTGAACCAGTTTTCCCTATCTCCGCGTTGACCCCTTGTGCTTGAACTATGCCTCCGTCTCCCTAATCCCATCTTGCAGGAACATAAATTGCCGTGCATTGAAACGGTATGATATCACCTTTATTTATTGCTAGTTGCTTTTTGATAGTTAGATGTTGGGTCTTTGGAATACTGCTTGTCTTGATGTGTGATGAATACTTTTAATCCTTTGGTCACCTTATTTTTTAATAAGTTAATTACTTGCTATTATGTTGATGGATTGTTTTATGTTTTAGATGAATCCCTCAATATTGCAACACAGGGGCTATTAGATAGAGCTAACTGCCACCACCTTGCGCTTTTCAAAAGAGGTTCCTTATTAAAAAATACATAATTTCAGTGTTTGTACAAAGCACTTGTACCTGTCATCAGTGCCTCAAGATGGAATTAGAAGTCTAAAAAGATACAGTGCTTTATTCATTTAATAAGTATCTACCATATTTATTCCCATAGTTTTCCCCACACTTGCTATTTCACTATGAAATAAAGAAGATAAAGGGATTTGTAGGAGTATCATTTCTTAACAGTGGTGCCCTTGGTCAACTTAAAATAGCAAAGTTCTGCAGCGTCCCAGTCTCCCACCAGTTCTTCCTGGCCAGCTCCTGAGAGCCAGCTCCTTCTGCAGGAGGCTGCTTCAGGCAGCGCTTTTGGTTGGTTGTGAGAAGAAGGAGGAGATGGTTTCCAAGCCCTTGGAAGTGGGAATTGATTTCATTTAGAATAACTGTAGGGAAAGAAGGCGTTGATGTGGAAAAGTAGGGGCTTTGGAGTCAAACAGACATGGATTGAATTCTACCTCTTCCACCTTGGTGGTGGGCAGACGGGTGTAGCTTTGCAAGCCTTAGTTTTCTTATCTACAGTGTGAGTGTAATGATAGCACCCTACCTCTTCTAGTGGTTGTGAGAATTAAATGAGATGTAAGGCAGACATTTAGCAGAATCTATTCTCCAGTAGCTATAAGTGCCAGTTCTTGTTACTCTTGTTATAACAGTAACTGTTACTGTTAGGGCTCCTATGGCATCCACCTTTGCTCTCATGTGACCGTGTAATGGGTGTGAGTCGGAGAAATGGGTCTGACTGCACAGCCCTGGCCCTTTCTAGCGTACCGCCCTGCCTTTCTAAAGCACGTTACGGTTCGTGCGTGAAGCACGTTCACATTTGTCACCTCATTGACTCCTCCTGTTTTAAGATACTGTGGTTCCTTCGGCTCTAGTTCTTGAGGAGGAGGAGAGGGGATAAACAGAAACTAGGAAGAGCAATGACAGGTAACTGGGCTGGGGCTGAAAAGGAGGTTGAGGAGAGTGGTAAAAAGGCCATAAACCCTCTCGGAAAACTTGCTCTTGTTTCAGTTTTAACACTTTCACTGCCTGGCGAGGTCAAACACTTGCTGTTTAGACATGTCTTTGCTAGTCTTTGGAATTATTATATGCAAGCCAAAAAAACGTGCGTGGCTGTGAGTGTGTGCATGTGTACATACATATGAGAGAGAGAGAGAGATGGAGCAAGAGCATTATGTAGGAGAATTTTTTATTATTTGCTTTATAACATAGAGACAAAACTCAGTAAAAAAAAATGTATCTGATATTACATGCTGGGTTATAAGAGATGTGGAATTTCTCTTAAAATGTTGTTAAACTGATTTTATGTATTTCCTTACCTTAGTTCTGATTTTTTTTTTTTGCCCTAGAATGATAAAATTACGGTGTTAAAGATGGAACCACTTCATTGCCCAAGTCCCCCCATTTCCATCCACCACTAGGGAAACAGACCTCCGTAGAGGAAGGGCAAGAGGGATGAATAGAGGAAACTAGCATTCGCTGAGTCCCTACCTTGTGTCCTGGTAGTATTTAAGTTATTTAAGCATTCATTTTGTAGTTCAGCAGATTTGTTTTGGAGAGTCTTCTGTGCACCAGGCACAGGGCTGCCCATGTGTGTAGCTGCTAGTGGAAGTCGCGCTCTTTCGTGGGATCTCAAGGAAAGCACTCCAGGGACCCACACCTACGGGAGGTTGTGGTGTGGTACAGTTTATTCTGTTCCCAGGCTTCTAATGTCCCATGTCCATCTGTCCTGCCATGGAAAAAGTCTGAATTTGTCTACATCACGGTCAAAACCAAGGCCAGTGTCCAAAGAGTCTGTGCCATTGTTCCGGTATCAGCAGCGTCAGTGCCAGTCCAGGTTCCCGGCTGCGATCCACTGCTGGGTTGCTGTACCCAGGCTCCCGCCTGGAGCCTGCGTTTGGAGTCTGCGTGACTTGGGAAGGACCAGGTGCTTTTCCAAAATAACAAATCAACTTCCTAAGCTTTTGCAGGCTTGCACTGGGTCTGGCCTTTTAAGCAAACCCTTCTTTCCCAGGCTAGACCCACAGGCCTCTGTGGTCACCATCTTGGCTCCTACTGTGTGTGTGCTTACCTCCCCCTTTTTATCGTTCTATCCCATTTCCCAGGGATCTGTAACTTCCAAGGGAAGCAAGTAGGCTTATGTTCCTAGTTTATCATGTGTAATAATGTCTGATTCTCTTTGCTCTTTCCTTTATTAATAGCTAGCTAACTACCTTTGCTAACACCCTCTTGGAGCTCAGAGGCTAGTGGGGAAGGCATTCACTAAAGGTGTACATAAATAAACACATAATATGGAAATTATTAGCTACCATGAAGAAAATAAACAATATGTGTGAGAATAACTGTAGGCAGGGATTCTTTTCATAGGATTATCAGCGAAGGTTTCTGTGAGCCTTAACGTGAAGGTTCATATGAACCTTGAAGAAGAAGAATAACAAAAATAATAATCCTCATAAGAGTCCTTTTCCAGAGAGGTTCTATCATTATCATCGTTTTACATATGAGGAAATGGAGAAACAGAGATTAAGTAACTTTCCCAAGACCTCACATCAGAAGATGCAAAAATCATGAGAAAGAACCTTCTAGACATAGTGAATAGCACCTACTATGGTCTTGAAAGTGGGAGAAGCAGGTGGGCTACACACACACATATTCAGGACACTTCGAGAAGGACAGTGTGGCCGAAGTCTGATGAGCAGGCGGTGCAGTGGCAGTAGATGATGCTGGAGAGGTAGGCAGCAGTCAGATCACAAGTGGAGAGATTGACCTTCAAAAAGATGAGTGATACTCCAGCAGTAAGGTCAGAGGTGAAAGAGAGAAGGTGGTTAAGTCCAGGTAAGTTTATAAATTTAATAAGGGGCTGATATTTCTCACGTGTTGGCAGTTACATGAGTGAAGGACGGGAACTGAAGGTCCAGGGGTATCATGGGAAGCCTGAGAGAGAAGCCAGTGTGTGCAGTAGGGGTCTTGGGTAGGGTGCAGGTTACTTCGGGAAATGCAATAGGCTTGCTATACAATGTCGAGCGTCTGTTTGAGGTGTATCATCAAAATCAACCTGTATAGTTAACATGATTTTTCTCCAGTGATGTTCAGTTGGGGAATGCAGAGGGTTGGGTTCATCCAAGATTGGTGTTCTGCCCGTTGAGTCCAGTGGAGGGAGAGAGTGTTAAAGCTGTATTTGCAAAGGACTGATTATAATAATGGGTCATGTAATCTGGAGGGTGATGTTGGGAAATAAGGGGGACTGATAGATCATTAAAAGGTGGTGGGTCAGTAGATTGTAGGTTGAAGAATTTGAGGGACTACCCCAACAAATGAGGTGAAAGCATATTAAAATGTATTCCGTGGGTGGATATTCTGACATTTTAAAGTTGGTGCAGATCTCCGGGACACCCACTGTGGCCGAGGTGGGGTGGATGGAAAGGTGCTGGGGGTGACGTGGTCCAGGCATGGAGACACCTGGGTATTGGACAGATTATTCCTTTAGAGGAAATTGTCAAGCCTGGGCACAGAGTGGGGGGTGGAGGAGAAGACTGTGAGGCAAGAGCTCAATCGAGCCTTTAGTGAGTAGAAGGTTGGTGGGTAACAGAAACAAATGAGGAAGGGAGAGGGTGGCTTGAGTCTCAAAAGAACAGGGATTTTTGCAAGGAAGGAGAACAGTTTGGAACTCATGGGGACAAGAATACCTACCTACTCCACCTCCTGGCCTTGAAGACTTGGAGTGAAAAAGAAAAAAGCAAAATAGTCTTCCCTAGTCAGCAGAAGCAGCAAATCCTTAATGACCTGCAGGTTTCAACTAAGGCAGAGGTGGAGGGAATGTGTTTTAAAGAGAAGTGATGATTTATGGAAGCTTGCTGATTAGTGCTGCAGTTCCAGAGCGGGGTGGGAGGTTCGGGAGGGAGAAGTGGTAGGCATGGGGGAGGGATTGTCGGTGAATTATGATGGTTAGGGCAAAAACGCAAGACCAGGTGAGGTGCAGATGATGTAAGTAAACAGATACACTGCGTAATGGGATCCCAGGCCCTTTGTTCCAGCGCTGCAGGCCTAATTGCTTCTTCAGAGAGTGTGGCAGCTTCCCCTGCAGCTTTTTCCGGGGTCTCAAGAAGTGAGTCGATGATTTGCAGGGGGACTGGCTGATGCCAAGGTCTAATGGTGACTTTTCCAAGGTCACACTGAATAGGTAGCAAAGCAAGTCTCCTGCCACTAAACATCAGGTCTGCTCACCATTCTCATTTGTTTGCTTTCATTGTAGTGCTCATTTACCTTACTGCTGGCAGAACTGGATCCATTAGAAAATGAAAATTAAAGAAAAAAAAAACGCTTAAAACTAGACAGTGTTTCCCCTTTGGGACCTTTCCAGGCTCATAAGCAGGTCCGTGCAGAGTGGATGAGAAATGGCTGTGCTGCGTGCGGGCCCTGGGGAGCAGTCACTGTGGCCCAGGAGGGTCTGCGTGCCCATGACTGTGTGCTTTGTTTACCCTCACGTGTGTGTTCTGTCCACAGGGTCACGTAGGCACAACGGCCACCAAGAAGATTGATGTCTACCTCCCCCTACACTCGAGCCAGGACAGACTGCTGCCAATGACTGTGGTGACAATGGCCAGCGCCAGGGTGCAGGACCTGATCGGGCTCATCTGTTGGCAGTACACAAGCGAAGGACGGGAGCCGAAGCTCAAGTAATCCTTCCTCTTTCTGGCTGCTCTAGTTTCTGGCTGTCTGCTGGCCACCCGTGCTGCATTCTGGGCGCAGCCAGCCTTTCTAGGCATTGGCCTGAGACCCAAACAGCCACGCTGATCCAGGTCAGGTCGCTCACCAGATCTGGGGCCCGTGTAGCTCAGGCTTATCTCAGAGAGCCTGCTTGTAAATAAACTGATTAGTTTGTGAATCCAGACACGAGGAAATGCATTTTAGCAGTTTCTAAAACCTTTCATGAGGCTTGCTGATAAAAGTGGCATGGGAGTTAGTGGGAGGGAACTAATGTTTATTGAGTACCTACCACGAGTTGGGCGCCACGCTGGGCATTTTGTACCTGATATCTCGTTGAATTCTCCTAGCTCCCTATGCGGTGAGGTTTATGAGCCTCATTCTGCATAGAATTGTTACTTGCTGCAGTTACACCAGTGGGAGATGGCAGAGTCAGGATTTGATTCCTGGTCTGTTCCATGCCAAGGTTTTTGCATTATTTCCTTTGGTCTAAATTAGTTTTCTTTGTTGCCAGCCAGACTCTCGATCGCTAGACTCTATTCCTCATTAAACAACTATTTTAAAGGGGTGGTGCTTGAAAGTAGAGTCTGCGCTTGCACGCCATACCTTGAACTTGAAAGTGCTGTGCTGCGTTGGTTCTCCCTACTTAAATCTCACGTCCGACAGGCGTCCTCCTCTAGTTTCAGGCGTTCCTCTCGGCCAGAGGGTTTGGGAGTCAGCGAACCGTGTGGGCACCTTCACTTTGGAAATGCTTCCTCAGGCAGGCTTTCTCCTCTCGCATCTGCAGGGTTAGAGTGGTCTGGTCTGCTCTGGTCAGTTGTTTGCTTTCCTTTTTTTCTTTTAAATACATTCTGTTTGCACTTAAAGTTATTCTTTCAGGTTCTTAACGACATTGCCCTTTACTCTGACTAAATAAAATGTGGATGTGAAGATAATCTTTTTGCTCCCTTGGCAATTGAAAGCCTTTTTAACCAAGATACCACCTAGGCTCAGAAAAGGGTCAGCAGCTGCTCTGCCCAAGGCTGAGCTATGGCCAACCCTTTTCAGCATGAAGGGGAAACAGGAGGACGGGAAAGGGGGTCACGGCGCTAGTGACTGACTTTATATGTGTTGTCCGAGTTAATCCTTAAAACATTGCTCAGTGCAGAGCGGAAGCTACGAGAGGCAGAGGAACTTCCCCAGGGTTACACAGCTAGGAGCAGAGACAGGAGCGCACTGGACACGCATTTACAGATGAGGAAACTAAAGCCTGGAGAGGCCAGGTGACTTTCCTGAATCACACAGAAAGGGACGGAACTGGTGTTTCAGCCCCGGAACCTCTGACTCTAGAGCCCTAGCTCTTCGCTATGGCATTATACTCTCTCCTATAGGTGACATAAAAATAGTCTTTAAATCCACGCTTGCTGCAGGCACTGTGCTAAACCTGGAAATACAGACGTGAAAAAGGCAGTTCCTGCCATCGAGAAGCTTATCGACTAAGGTAGATAGGCAATAATAATGCTGTACAGTCCAGTTCATTAGCAAGTAATATCAGGTTCTCTGAGAAGGTTTGACCCCATATTTGGTGGTGAGAGTAGAGTCATAAAAAGCAGTCTTAAGTGACATCTAAATGGAAACATGAATGAGGAGTAAGAAAATGTGATGCGCCTCTGACTGGTGTGGCTCAGTGGGTTGGGCACCATCCCACAAATCAAAAGATCCACGGGTTCAATTCCTGGTCAGGGCACACAGTGGGTTGTGGGCCAGGTTCCCAGTTGGGGGTGTGCAAGAGGCAGCCAATTGATGTTTCTCTCCCTTTTGTTCTCCCTCCCTTCTCCTCTCTCTAAAAATAAATAAGAATATATATCTTTAATGTGATACATGGAGGTCAAGAGGGTTTTCTAAACAGAGGGAAAACATCACTTCTGTTTGTGATGGCCCTTCCAAATCATGCTTTAAATTCTATATTCTGCTCCAAATACATAGAGATGATAAATGAAATATGTTCTTGACATAGTTGTGTTTAATAACAAGACAAACATCCTGGTGGGCTAGAAACAGAGCCAAGCACAGAAGCAGGCAGAGTGTGCTGGGAGTAGGTTCTCTTAGGGTACTGCTGTGGACACGCTGTGAATGAGTCTTACCAGTATGTGAAAACCAGATTTTTCTCAGGCTTCAGGACAACTCGGCAGGGCCTGAGGGGGTCAGAGACCGCGGCCATCATTTCTGGGTAGAGAACAGCCTCAACCGTCTACCTGTGTGCCGTACACGCACTGTTATTTTCTAAGTTTACCATGATGTCAGAAACACAAAAAGAATGGGAAACACTGCTTGAAAGTATGTGGCCCAAAGGAACCTCACACCTGGATGGGGATCAGAGGAAGTCCCACTGCTGGAAACCAGATGCTAGGGTGGAATATTCCTGCCTGCTGTGAAAAGAAACAACACAGCTAACTTGGTCTGTGACTTGTTTAAAGTTGTATTTCTGGCAGGGGCGCAGGGTAGCAGTAAGACCAGAACCTGGCCACGAAGTGACTGCGTTGATGGTAGCCCTGGTGTTACCAAAGCATAGGAACCTTGTGCAGCCAGGCATAAGGCCTGGCTCCAGACCAGAGGCCCTGCTCCGACAAAGATGGAAGCGGGTGGCAGTGTCTGTAAAAGCATTAGACAGGAAGCGGGGAGAGAGGAGGGCGGGGGAGGGAGAGGAAGAGAGAAAGTGCTTTTATTCAAAATGATCTAGCAAATTCAATTCGAAAGCAAAAGAGTATATATAACTAGTACCAAGACAGAAAGACAGTAATCAGAAGAATTCACTCCCAACAAAATGTAAGAAGGCAATCTGAAAATTAGTTTCAGATAAATATGTTTAAAATTATCAAAGAGATGAAGGAATACCATCCATGGTAGAATTCTAGGAAATTATGAAACAAATGAGCAGATGAGAATCAAGAGGTGGATTTAGAAAAGAGCCAATTAAAATACTGGAAATATAAAATTCAGTTTTTAAAGTTTAAAAAAAGTACAGGATAAACCCTAGAGTGGGCACAGCTAAAGGGGAATGAGTGGAAAGATAGCACTAATGAATTCCACCTAGGATGTAACACAGAGATGAAGAGATTCGGAGAATGAAAAATGAGTAAATTAAGAGACACAGAGGAAAGATTGAAAGCCTCCCACTTGTGAAGCAAGAAATGGAGGGAAGAGCAGAAAAATAGTATTTGAAGAAATAATGCCAGAGACTCTCCCAGAATTGAATGCAGATATGGATGCATCTTCATATTAAAAGTACATACAAATTAGCCCTGGCTGGTGTGGCCCAGTGGATGAGCGCTAGACTGCAAACCAAAGGGTCGTCAGTTCGTTTCCCAGTCAGGGCACATGCCTAGCTTGCAGGCCAGTTCCCCATTAGGGGGCGCTCAGGTGGCAACCACACATTCATGTTTCCCTCTCTTTCTCCTTCCCTTCCCCTCTCTAAAAACAAATTAATAAATAAAAATACATACAAATTAAGTGAAAATATACCTTTTTAACAAATTGGGGTGGAGCAACTGGACATGAATAAGCCAAAAAAAAAATCAACTACACCCTAAATCTCATACTACGTATAAAATCAACTTGAAATTAATTGTGACTTGCATGTAAAGTGTAAAACTATAAAACCTTTAGTAAGAAACAGGATAAAATCTTTGGGCTAGATGAAGAGTTTTATATACATGATTGATTCGGACCCCGGCCCGCGGGGTCCGTGTGTTGTGGACGCGACAAATAAATTCACATGGACTGCAGAAGTCCTGCAGAGAAAAAGGGGCGGCCTGGGCACTCTCTGAGAGACAGAGGGCGCTGACCTTGCCTGGGCAGGCATTATGGCTTTTCTGGGCACATCACATTGAGGATGGCCCTCATTTACTAAGCAGAGGGTGGCTTTAGGTGGTTACCTTTTATAGAAAACAAAGGAGAAGATGTTGCTAATTACATCAAAGAAGAAGGATATTTGCAAATGCAAAGGGAAAAGTGGTTGAACTGATTCCACTCATCCTCGGGAGGTTTAGCATAGATTTTAGGAAGTTACTTTAAAGATATGCAGTAAATATTTGCTGCCTCAATTCAGGGTGAGAGAGTTTTAGCAAAAGCAAGTCTCCAAGCAGCCTAGGTGCAATGCAGGCCTGATTCCCCACAGGAGAACCTGCCCATGTGCGTGGCTCCTGTGTGCTGACCTCACTCCCTGTCAGTTTTCCGAATCAGGGGCTGGGCTACATTCCCCACAGCACGTGGAACGGTCTCCTATACATGACACTAAAAGTATAATCCATAATGGAAAAAAGAAGATAGATTGGACTTCATCACAATTAAATACCTTTTTTGTACAAAAGAACCTTTCTTTCCTCCTTCCCAGCCCAAAAGCTGTCAGGCAGCAGCCATTCTGCTTTCTCCTTTGCCATGGACCAAAGTCTTCATCTCCACCTGGCCAAGGGGGAGGATAGGGGTTGTGGGAGGGACTTGGCCAGTGGCAGTGCATGAAACAGTAGAATTTAAGGCAAAAATGTCAATAGGGATATTTTGGTAAACTACATAATGAAAGGAAGAGCCACCAAGATAATATAATAATTCTGACTGTTTATGTATCTAAAAACAGTCTCAAGATATTTCAGGGGGGTTATAAAGAGACATTGACTGGCCCTGGCTGGTGTGGCTCATTTGGTTGGAGCATTGTCTCATAACCCAAAGGTTGCAGGTTCAATTCCCAGTTGGAGCACATGCCTAGATTGTGGGTTCGGTCCCCGGTCTGGGCATGTACAATCCCCAGCTCATCAATGTTTCTCACTTTCCCATCCTATTTCTCTAAAAAGCAATGGGGAAAAAATGTCTTTGGGTAAGGTAAAAAAGAAAAAGATTTTTAAAGAGGCAATGACTGATCCACAGTCAAAATGGAACATTTCCATGCATCCCTATCAGAAATTGGTAAGTAAAGCAGAAGGGAAATTAGTAAGGAAAA